CTTATACATTTATATCCAATTGATATACTCATGTATTACTATACTTTCCTACTTGATATTATATAAATAAAAAAAAATATTATAACAAATCAAAATATCTTATCTTATAAATTTATTTCTAAGTTATCAAATTTGTCAACTAGTTTAATTCAAGAATAAAGTATATATATTAATTTAGATTTAATAAAATACAATTTAATGACTTACAAGAATTTTAGGATAAAATAACTTATATTTTACCTAAATTAAGTATAATTGCAAAGGCATATATTTGGTTACTTATTTCTTCTTGTGCAATTAAGCAAAGTTTTTTTGACTATAATGAAATTTTAGTAAATAATTAACAAAATCTTAGTAAAGATTTATTAAAGATACTAAATATGATATATTTTAATAATGAATAATTAAGAGTATGACAACCTAGTGAAGTGATCAGGTTGTCAACCCTCTAAGTGATAGGTTGAGTATTCAAATTCCATTGACGATAAAAATTTGGATAATCATCTATGTAATATTCATATTATAGTAACTGTTATCAATGATTGGATTAGAATACCTATAATAGCAGTTATACCAGCATGACTGGTAGGTCATGGGACATTCATGTAACAGGTCACATAACATTATTCTTTGAAACAAGGTCTGTAGTTATATGAAAGAATACAAACTGGCAATTGAGCAGTGCAAACACTAGATAAGTCCTTGTGGCTGTGTAAATTTGTTAAAATTAGGTAACAAGAAGTCCATTTGAAAAAGCCCAAGTAGAAAGGTAGCCAGATCTTTGACAACCCTACTGTAAAGACTAACCTTATAAAATAGATGCCAAGGTTGAAGTAGACAAATAGTCAAAACCTCTAGATAGAAGGTACCACTAATCAGATTGCCAGATCAAGTCAGAAGAAAAAGATATTGGGCTGACCTGATATACCAATGGACCAGTCATAAGTCCTACTAAGTTATTTGGATTGGAAGTTTGGTAAACCAGCAGAGATATACTAAAATATTTCAGATATATTATGAAGTAGATGCTAGGGTCTGTGTAAACTCTACAAGAACATAGCAGTTTAATGGTTAGTTCTGACCACAAGTGTTGATTCTGTCATAATGATACCTAGATCAACTATAAAAATGAGTACAGAAGACTTTGAGAGGTTTATCTCAAGAATAAATTAGTTCTAAGGTTAAGACAATGATCTAGACATCTGGGTATGACCCAATGATGTTAACACAGGTTATAGGTCCAGAGGGTTTAAAGTAGAACAACCAAGCAGGGATGTTAGGTATGACAATTGGTAGAAAACCTTTGGGCAGACTCCTTAAATAGGTAATATAGAAAGTTACACATGTAGCCAATTGTACACTCTCCTGTAGTGGTTCATTGAACCACAATACCAACAAGTGATTAATAAAAGTCAAAAGACCAAAGAGGTCACCTTAATACCAAAAAAAAAAAATAATGAATAATTAAAAAAAATTAATATATTGCAAACTATAAATTAAAATTTTTTTGTATTGTATTGTTTAATATAAATAATACAAATTGTTTTGTAAACTTTTTTTTTAATTTTAAAATATGTTTTTTTCTAATAAATAAATCAGAAATGGATCAACTTTTTGTATATTTTTTAAAAAAATTACAAGGTTTTTATTTTTTACAAGATAAAATTGCATATATTTTTTTTTTACTCAGTAAACATTATTAAATTCATACTTTTAAGTTTGAATCATCAGTAAACTGATTATTTCATATATTGTCACCATCGAATGGGAGAGCTTCCGACAACCATGCCGAGTTTAACTCCGATGGTTGATGTAAGAAAGATATGGAAATCTGATGATAAATTAGGGAATGCGGATTTTACATGTTTAGCAGGCATTTATTATATAAAAGAAAGTAGGTTTATGTATTCTTTATTTTAGAGACGATTTCAGAGAGCATCCTTCTTTTTGAGCTAAGGGTCAAAGCAAGCCTTTAAATACATTCTCAATTCTTATAAGGTCTATGCTAAGAACATATCATCTATGTCCTATCTCTGAATCCCAAATGCTTTCCCACAGGCAACTCATTTATGCAAGAGCGTATACGCGACTAGGGGAAACTCACATGGGTTAAGCCACTAAGACATAAGAATGCCTAATATTATAAAGGTAAGATTAACATGGCTATGATGATATATTTATGGAAGGTATGTGACAACTTAATGAATTAGACAAATACGGAAGTGAAAGACACAAGAAAAAAATTATTCGTTACAATATACCGCACACATAATTTACAAATTCTTATCACATAAATTCCGGGTCCTCGGTTGACTTGTATTACTAAATGCCGTCTAAATCCGATGAATCCGACCGAATTTGAGGATCCACTTGTAAAATACAGACCAGGATCAAAATTCCACATGTGACATACATGGAACATCGATAAAACTAAGGTTGATTAGGGCTCGACTCAAGTTTAACTTTAAGTCGATAGTCATTTTAAGTCGACTGATATGCAAGATAAATATGAAGTAATCTTTTTTTTTGAATTTCTGTTATGAAAAATGCGAACATGTGAATATGGGAATAAAAAATTTGTAAGTATAAAACTCCATAACTGTATTATTGTATCGTCGCGAAATAACGCCCTGGAACGCTATTTCTGACGATACAGTATGCTGAAATATGTGCCAAAATTTTTGCAACACAGTAAAAGTACACTCACTAATGGCAGTAGTGTTTGAAATTTATAAATTCTTCAAATATCTTAAATAATCCCAAAGGTTTGAAGTTGGTTATGTGTGAAATGATGGGTCAAAATATAATATCCCATTGCAGTTTCTAGAGGTAGAAATTGGAAATACTATTAGATTAGGTAGAATTTTTGACTATGTTACGATGGTGATGCTACGATTTTGGGGTGAAATAAATAAACCGTTATCATAATAAATATAATGCACGCAATATCTGTACTTTGTTTGTCCACTAATGTCTTTAGTTCGACAGATATGAAGATACAGTCTTAGAAAAAACGATGTTCCAAAATATGCGTAACACATTATTGTCATCAAAATTGGTCGAAATGAATTAGGAATGGCATACGTACGTATATGCCAAACGTGTATATTTAATCTCCTTTTATAGTGTTGAACATATCGATATTGGGAGGATATGTATTGCATACATTCTGTATGACAAAAAAAAAACTTTGATGAAAGCTATATTATAATTAAATATGTACCCCATCGACAACTAGCACAAAATTTTACCAATCCTTTCACGCGATGCACACTGAGAATGTGCCATAAATCCTTTAATGGTGCTTGTTTGTGAACTTAAGGGTCCTAATTGTTCCAATTTCATATTTTTTGATTCTCATTAACACATTTAGAAAATGTTACATAAACCTAACTACGATCAACAATTATACTGAGAATAGCTTTCGCGTCTCTTTACTCTCCACACATGTATGACATGTATGCCTCTACACAATTTGTTATTGTGGCTTCACCATATAACTTAAACACAACATACGTGTGTTCAAAATTAGTTTTAGCATCATGATTCAATGTGATATCTAATGCAACAGGCTTAATCGACACCTTGAATGATGTTGATCCGGTCGCTGTACAACTAGTAGGGCTATATAAAGAGTGTAATAAATAAAGAAATATCTAAATCTCATGATATAATAAACAAACATTATACACAAAATATATAAATTGTCACTTTTATGAGCACCCTTTGAATGTGTGCTAGGTTTATGACGCAGATTTACTGAACTACTAATCAGGTGCAATCGATCAAGAAAATTCAAAACAAACAACCGTGTTATCCAAAATCGCAAAATTCTACATAAGAAACTTCTTTTGATCTCTAATAAAAAGTTTTCGTTGGGCAATTTTACTATATAAATTACTTTCTACTAACCCGTAACCTAAACCCTAACTTTAACATAAATGAACAATAAAAAATTTTTGCTGTGCCACAAACCTAGCACACATCCTTTTCTGAAATATATGACGTAATTTGTCTAACTGGGGTTTAAACTTTAGCGTAGTCGTGTCAGATAAGTTTATGTTGTTCAATGTAATATTCTGAACTTCCAAGCTCTTTATTATATAATTCGGATATAGGTATAAGTCCTTTATTGTGCAAACAATTAATTTCAATTTTTAAAGCTTGAAATATTGAAAAATAAGAATAGATATTGGAATCGATGAATTTCGAGCATTTGTTTGATAAAAAATTCTAGATTTTTGAGCATCTGTGAAAAATTTTGACCGAATATTCGGATATTCATTGAGATTTAAATAATACTGTAATAAAAATATATTTACATATAAAAAATTTAGTGCGATATTAAATCCCTTAATTGTATTATTAAGTTACTTATAATTCGTTGATTAATGTCAACAATAAAATCACTTGTTTTCATGTTAAATTTGAGAAATATTATTATGCCAAATAACTTATGATTCACTGATGTTCTCTTCTTACTTTTAACATTTCTTGCATCCGAAATAAGTGTTTACTTTGCGGGCTTGTTACAGAAATTATAAAAAATTTTCGATTAAAAATTGGAAAATGCTATTTTGTAAAGACCATTATATTGAATTTCCTCGTCATCTTTATTAGTTACTATAATCGAACCAAAGCGCTGCCAAAACCAATGATAATTTTCTAGGCCCACGCATTTCTAATTTTTGTTTTTCAGAACTATCAGTAATAGTTTCTATATTAGATTTTGGTTCTTCACAAGCCAAAATATTAATGTTGCGCGTCAAATGAAAATTTGCATCAACAAAATTCAAATTGAGTTTCATTAGTTTAAGATGTGGAAACTTATGTTAGGGCAAAATAAGATTATAATTATTTTAATCTGATGCAAATATTAGTTTGACGCGATTGTTGCTCATTTTCTTAAGTTCATTTTTCTGAGATAGCATTTCACCAAAGTCGTAATACTGACAATCCATTTTACTAGCAGGACAGAAATAGTTTTGTTTCATTCACCGAAAATCAATTAAGGTTAGTGAAATGAGCTGTCAGTGAAATAAATGTCAATGAAATAAACTTATCGGTTAGTTGATTTTCGGTGAAATGAAACAGACCTATTTCTGTCCTGCTAGTAAAATGGATTTGTATAATGACTTCGGTGAAATGGTTTTCAGAAAAATGTATTTCGGGAAGTTAAACCTGAACCGTTTGACGCACAACATCAAGATGATTAGATTTACCATCTTCATTATTAAAAAGAGGAACATTATAATAAAATGCAGTCAGTGTCATTATTCAATGTGTCAATTTGAAACATTTATTAAATCGATATTTATGAAAACTATTACATAAAAATTATTACTATCAAAACACCATTAAATTTAACTTTGACCGATGTTCAGTGATTAAACGAATTAAAAACTCAATAAATTAAATGCTTAGTTCGATGTTTGATATTTTTGATCGATTCCACCTTCTACATTATGACCGGTCAAATAATTCTTTGATTGCAATAAAGATGATAATATTTTAATCAAATTAAATACTTTAATAAGATAATGGTTTAATGCATAAAATGCTTTGATACACTTATGCTTCTTACGTATTTCTGAAATCGATCAGATTACCATAAAGATCTAAGTAGGTCAACGCAATATTTTTATGAATAGCCTCTACAAAAAATTATTATAAGATGTAAGGTACTTATGCAAAGTGCCTCTGATAAAGCCTTTCCTCCGTTAATTCAATTACTTTATCATTAAAGATCTAAAAAAGTCAAGGTGACATTTTTACAAAGAGCTTTTGCTAACGCTCTTGCCCCTTCAAACTCAACTTGATTATATTTAATATTTAAGGATCTGAGAGCAGTATTTATGCAAAGAGCATTAGCAAATGCTTCTCCTCCTCTAAAACCGATATTATTAAAGTAAAAATCTAAAGAAGTCAGAGTATTATTTACACAAAGAGCCCTTGCAAATGCTTCTCCTCCTTCAAAATAGATATCATTTTCTCCAATGTTCAAGTAAGTCAGAGTAGTATTCGTGCAAAGTGCCTCTGCTAATGCTTTTCCACCCTCGGAACCAATATCATTACGGCAAATATTTAAATGAGTTAAAGTGCTGTTTTTACAAAGGGCCTCTGCTAATACTTTTCCACCTTCAGAACTAGCATTATTATCACTGATTAATAAAGTTTTTAAAGCAACATTTTGATGAAGAGCTTCTGCTATTGCTTTTACTCCTTCGGGACCAAGTTCATTGCTAACAATATTTAAAGAAATTAAAGTAGTATTTACGCAAAGAGCTCCGGCTATCAATTTCCCTTCCTCAAAACCAAGTTTATTTTTATCAATACGTAAAGAGGTTAAAGTATTATTTATGCAAAGAACCTCTGTTAATACTTTCACTCCTTCAAAATCCATCGAATTATTTCCAATGTCTAAAGAAGTTAAAGTGCTGTTTTTAAAAAGAGCTTCTACTAATACTTTCATACCCATAGAACCAAGTGAATTACAACTAGCATTTAACGAAGTCAAAGTAGTGTTTTCGCAAAGAACCTTCGCCAATGCTTTTCCTCCCTTAAATCCAATACTATTGTAACTAATATCTAAATTCGTTAAAGTGTTGTTATTACAAAGAGCTTCTGCTAATGCTTTCACCCCTTCAGATCCAATAAGATTACTAGAAATTTTTAAAGAAGTTAACGTAATATTATTATAAAGAATTTCTGCTAATACTTCTGTCCCTTCGGAACCAAGAAAATCGACTGAAATATCTAAGAAAGTCAAAGTAGTGTTTTTGCCAATATTATTCTTCACTAGTAATTTTAAACCCTCAGGATCATAGCAGTTCGAACGATATTTTAAATATTTAAGTTCTTTACTTGTTCGTAAAAACATTGCAACCAATGAATATTTAATGGCATTTACAATAAAAGACAAATCTTCATATCTATTCATATTACATTCTTCAACAAGCCAATTTATAACTCCATCAGCCAAATAAGGGCCAACTGACACAGTACAACCTACGTAATCAAATAGTAGTCTTGGATAACTTGGAATAATAATTTTATAAGGGATTAATAGAGCATGTTCTACAGCATTTAACGCTGAAAGATATATTCTTATAAGTTTATTGCCATAAACGTAATCTGTTGGTCTACTCCATAATATCGGTACAACAATTCTACAACATTGCCGATTTACAAGAAGGCATGAAAATAAACTTGAATAATCATTCTGAAGATTATTAAATATTTCCGAAAAGCATTCGTTCGGTAATATCAACATTTTACTGTTTTAAAAGGATTGAGTGGAATTTTCTCCTATACGATAATCGATGTGAAACCTTTTAATCTGCTCTTACTATATATAGAAGTGTTATCTGACGGCATGTGGTATGCACGTAATACCAATTTTAGGTTACGAATAGTTCCGTATTTGTAATGTATACTGTAGTTTAGTAAAGCAGTGGGGTATACTATAAAATCGCATTTAAATCTGTAAATCTAGCTTAATATACACATAATAAATATTATAGAAAGTAATATATAATCGTAAAGAATTTAATATGAGGCTGTATCAAACTAAAATTGAGTTTTATGGGATTATATTAGTGATGGGCAAATCGCAGATTTTTAAAAAACCCGTGCGGGATTTGCGGAATATATTAAAGTTTTTTAATTTTTCATGAATTATAAATATATATATAAAAATAATCAGTAGAAATATAATTTCTTGCTAAAATAATATATTTTAAATACATTTAGCATTTCAAAATGATGCCAAATCGGTTTATTAACATCCATGTTATAATAATGAATGACTTAATAATGGTTATATTTATTATAACAAGGAATAGTAAGTAAGAACTACCAACGGCAAAAAAAATTTAATCAAGTATATGCATATATATATAGAATGATAAACAAATAAGAAGTTCTACATAGAAATGCAGACCGGATAAAACAACTACCCCAGTGGCACCGACAGATTTTCACTGATCGACAATTTTTAAAGTCATAAAACAGTACATTAGAGTCAGGTTTATAATCATAACGATACATGTCTTATACTAAAATTTTGCAAGGAAATTTTTTTACTAAAGCGCAGAAGATGGTTACATAGGCGAAATTTTGAGTTATGGTGGTTTTTTTAAAAAATGTTAGTTTTTTGTTTTGATTTCACGTTATACCCGATCTTGTAATCTAATTGGTCAATCGCTGTCGATCAGTGAAAATCTGTCGGTGCCACTGGGGTACTTGGATAAAACAGCCACCCAAAAAACTTTCGGGCATCACATAACAAACTTATCGAGAACCAAAAATTCATGTAAAAAATCATTTTCACCGATTTAAACTTGCGATAATTCTAATTAGTGATGGACAAATCGCATTTTTTTAAAAATCCCACACGGGATCTGCGGATATAGAATTTTATGAATTATAAAATTATGTATAAAGATTATCACTAGAAATATAATTTCTTGTTAAAATAATATATTTTTTAAATAATCATTTCTTATAAATATTACTGCATTTAACATAAATAAAAATACTTATATAGATTTTGCCTACTTCTAAAACATATAAAAAATTTCTTAAATAATTTAAGTTTAAAGTATTGAATTTTATAACTATATATTTTGTTAATTTAGATTTTGCCTTAAATAAATCAAAAAATATTGCCAATTGTAATATTACTAGAAATACTATATCTTAAAAATTTACTAGTTAACATATGTTGAAAGTATTCAGTAAAAATGTTTAAGACTTCTAAAAACTAACCCTAATAAAGATTCAAATCTTTATATTTAATTCTAACTTTGATCCAAAATTGCACTTTACCTTTAAATTTGATAAAAGAAATAAAAGTAGTAGTATTATTACTAGTAATAAATGCTAAAATTATAAATTAAATTAATTAATTAATAATATAAAATATTTAATAAAATAAAAATTAAATTTAAAATCATAAGGTAAGTATGAGTATTATGGCACAATACCTATTATGAAGCAGTTGTGATATCTCATGATCCAATGATCAGAATTGGATAATTTTCATACATTAGATTCATCTCATCGATACGAATCGATTGGTACAAAAAGCATCCGATTCTAATCACTGGATCATGAGATATCTTCATTTAACTAAAGAAACCAGATTTATAATTTAGTCTTCATACAAGAAATCATCGTAACATGCAAAAAGTGACCTTTTTTACTAAGTAAATCGATCTTAGTGCATTAAGTAAAATTGTTCATAATGCAAAGTTCTATATAATATAAAATTTTTGGTAAATTTCAGATAACTTTTTATTAATACATTTTCTTTTTATATGTTTCTGCACTAGTGATATAATTATGGTGCAAAAACATATAAAATAAATGTGCATTAATAAAAAGTTATCTAAAATTTACTAAAAATTTTATATTATATAGAACTTTGCATTGTGAACAACTTTACTTAATGTACTAAGATCGATTTACTTAGTAAAAAGGTCACTTTTACATGCTACAATGATTTTTTATAAGAAGACAATTATAAATCTAGATTCTTTAGTTAAGCGAAGATATCTTATGATTCAGTGATTGGAATTGGATGATTTTTGTACCAATCGATTCGTATCGATAAGACGAATCTAATGGCAAAAAATTATCTGATTCTGATCACTGGATCAGAAATTATTAACTGTAAAATTTATATGCACTATAATACCCATATTATACTATTTATTATTATTTATTATTATTTTTTTAAATGAATATATCTTGTAATCCAGTAATCAAAATCTAATAATTTTTATACCATTAGATTCATCTAATTGAGATGAATCGATTGGTATAAAAATCATCCAATTCTGATTACTAAATTATAAATTATTGGCTATAGAAATTAAGTGCACCATAATACCTATACTTACCTTATACTTACTAATTTAATTTTATATATTTTTTTATATTTATATTTTTTATTAATTTTGATTTTATATTTTTTTTTATATTTTATGTTTTATATTTTTTTATTATTTTTAATTTTATATTGTTTTTTATATTTTATATTTATATTTTTTTATTATATTGTAATTATATATTTTTTATATTTTGTATTTTATAATTTTGACATTAATCTAATTTTTTAATAATTTAAATAATTAAAATTAATAAATTTATTATTATTATTAAAATTTGAATTTTGTATTTAGATTTTTAAAATTTTTAATAATGAATTTTAAATATCTGTAAATATATTTAATAAAATTATTAAAAATATTTTTACTTTAATTTTTTAT